AGGGGACTATGAATTGGGTACCAACAGGGCCAGGGGTGTGGGTTGGGATAAGCCATTGTTCTTGACAAATGAGTCCCAGTATGAAAACAGTTGAAAACCACTAGTCTAGAGTACTCTCATTTAGTCTCATTTCTTTGCAGCTGGAATGTTAAAGAAATTCACCAGGCTGCTGATTATCTCAAAGTGGAGGAAGTGGTCACAAAATGTAAGATAAAGATGGAAGATTTTGCTTTTATTGCTAATCCATCTTCTACGGAGACATCTAGCATCACTGGAAACATTGAAATGAACCAGCAGACTTGCCTGCTCACCCTTCGAGATTACAATAATCGGGAGAAACCAGATACCCCTTCTTCAGATGTGATTCAGCCACAAGCAAAAAAGGGGGCATTGGAAAAAAAATCTGCACAAGCCAAAAGGCGAAAGAAGAATTTTAATTCACAGAAAAATGCTCAGAATAAACCAGTGCAATATCAGAACGATGTACTCGAGAACTCATCAGTTGAAATGTTCTTAGATGCAAATAAACTGGCCGTGCAGATAACGGAGCAGGCAGCCCAAGGTAGCGATAACTCAGAGCTGCAGCTGGCATCTGTGATAGAAAGTGAGACTTTGGCAGCACAGGATATTCTAGTTCAGACTATTACTGCAAAACAAAAACGGGGGAAGTCACAACAGAATGGTGCACTGAGAGAGCACTGCATGTCCAACATAGCCAGCAAAAAGAACTCTTACCAACTGCAGAGCTCAGAAGAACTTGATCAGAAATACTCCAAAACCAAGCCAGTGTGCAACATTTGTGGGAAAGTGTTTTCAGAAGCCAGTAGCCTACGGCGACACATGAGGATCCATAAAGGAGTAAAGCCTTATGTGTGCCAGCTCTGTGGGAAGGCATTTACCCAGTGTAATCAGCTGAAAACACATGTAAGAACTCATACAGGTAAGCTGTTGGCTAACTAGAAAGGAGCCCTGCTTTCTTCCAGTGTGTTAAGTGAGAAATGTTGATGACAATGGTTTGTATATTTCTTGCTGCTTAACCCTCTTCTACCAACCTGTAATAATTGAAAACAGAATGTGTATGTGTGTAGCTGCCCTATTTTCCTGTGATCGCAGAACAGTCTGGCAACCTGTTGCTAGAAGTTCCAGCAGAGCTGACTCAATCTATTGTTTTTTGAAGGTAATTAATGGAATACAGTGCAGAAAATATATTACAATATGGCATGACAGGACAGCTTGACACGTTATAGGTAGGGATCTCTGTAAATCGCAGAAGTATTATATCGCCCCCTCCCCCCACAGTGGCTCCTTTAACTTTTTTTCCTTTTGGTGCTCTAGTGCCGCACCTCACACCCAAGGGCAGACACAAAGGGGCCAGGTCCTTCCCAGCAGACTGCAGCTCGAGCTGGGGCCTCAGGCTTCTGGCTTCCCGCACCCAGGCTGGGTGGGTCTCTCATGGAGCTGCCCCAAGCCTGTCAGTTGCCCACCGCAGGGGTTCGTGTGCCCGCAGCTGCCACCATACCCACTGTCCTGTGCAGCACCCAGTAGCTGCAGCCACACAAGACAAACGCTGGCCAGGGCTGTTCTGCCTCCCTTGCCTCCAGCTGCTATTTCTGCTTCTGCCCCTACCCCTGCTGTGCCACTCTGGGTGGACGGGCAGGAAGCTTCAGCCTAGTGGTTTCTGCCCAGCACATAAAGCTTTGGCTCCAGCCCTCAGCTACCTTCCACCTGATCTGCTCGCAGAGGCTGCTTATCACACCAGGCAGGTGGAGTGGATGGAAGGCAGTCAGAGCTCCATGCACTGGGCAAAAGCTGCCAGGCTGAAGCTTCCACTTGCTTGGAGCAGTGCTGCATGGTGTGGCAGGAGCAGGAACCACAGCTGGAGGTGAGAGGAACAGAACAGCCGTGCTGCACTCAGCCAGTACACAGCTCCAGGCCGGGTTAGGGAAACTTCAGCCCAGCATCCTTTGCCCAGTGCATACAGATCCAGCTCCAGCTCTTGACCGCCCTTAGCTGGCTCCATCTGCCCACAGGGGCTGCTCATCATACTGAGTCCACAGTGGTGCAGCAGGAGTGGGAGGAGGAGGATGAGCTGCTGGAGGCGAGGGGAAGCTGCATGCTGGCTAGGTCTGGCAGGGCTCTTCTGCCGTGCCACGGAGCACAGTGCTGGGTGGGCGAAAGGTTCTGCCCAGCGCATGGATCTCTGGCTTCAGCTCCAGCTCCCTTCAATCTACTCTGCCCGCCCTGTGCAATAAGTAGTCGCTGTAGGCAGAGCGGATGGAAGATAGCTGAGGGCTGGAGCCAGAGCTCCATGCACTGGGCAGAAGATGCCAGGCTCAAGCTTCTTTCCTGCCCACCCAGAGTGGTGCAGCAGCAGTGGCAGCTGGAGGTGAGGGAGGCAGAACAGCCCTGCTGGCCCTGGCCAGCACACAGCTTGTGGTGCAGCTGCTGGGTCCTGCACAGGACAGGAGTAGGGGGGAGCTGCCCATGCCGTGGAGTATGGGGGAGGGGGAGATCCCTGACAGGGGCTGCTCTGCCCTGGCTAGGCAGACCCCAGCTGCCAGTGGGACAGGGGACAGAGGAGGAGATTAAATCCTCCTCCCTCTCTCTGTTTGCTTTAGGGTGCAGACAAGGCTGGCCATGCCCCCTCACCGTGGCTCCAGCAGTGAGGTTGGGGAATGCCTGATGGGGTGCTACACCTGGCTGTGATCCCTCAATGGGAGAAGGGGGGGGGAGGGGAAATAAACCCCCTCCCTGCCCCCTTTGCCTCCAGGGGCCATGCCAGACAAGCATTGGGCCACACCCCCACCCCTGCTCTGGTTAGGGAGCAGAGAGCACAGCCCAATGCAGGGCTGCAAGGCATGCTGGGATACTGGGGGATTTAACTTAAGCCAGGAAGGGGTCTGGGACACAAATTCCATAAACCACTTTGACCCTAATCAATTAAGTCTGTTACTACATTCAACCAGGTTCATCTTAAACTGGTTTTGGCCATTTTAAAACTGGTTTATGTGCACTGATCTTGCGTTCTATTACCAGTTTAAACCAAGTTTAAACTGATTGCTTAAACTGGTTTATTTGTAATTTCTGTCCCTAGCCGTAGCACTTCTGCCACTACTCATGTGAGCAAAGTAAAATTACCTATATTTTCCTCCCTTTCACTGGCCACCATAAAACGCAAGAAAAATTATTGGGTTCACTCTGTTCCCTCTTGGGGGAAACTGTAAGGAGAGGTTTGTACTAGAAATGTTCTAGGAACATTTGAAAGGAGCTGAATGGGAGAACTGGAAGCTGAAAGGGTCAGCAGAGAGTAAACTTCTTCCTCTTCTGGTAGCCAGAGTGAAGATTTTGTTTCACACTTACCAGACCCGGACTAGTCAGTGGTTGATTTGAAAGATGAGAGGTGACTAAGGATAACTTGCTGGTAAATGGTCAGTAGCACTTTGTCCTTTACAAGTTGTTACACCTGGATTTCTTTGCAGTGATGCACAGGGTCCCTTTCATTTGTATCTACAACTGGATAGTAGGTTTAGTAGGTTTCTGGATAAAAGGTGTCTGGTAGTTTTCTTTTTTCAAGCTTTTATCTACATGATGTATTTAGGACTTCTGAGGTCTCTGCTTATTTATAGATTCTAGCATAGTAATGTGAGCTCGTGTTTTCTTACTGTACGGTCACATGAGACCCGAGTATAGTATATGGGATACATTCGTAGGTGATGGCGTAACATCAGTTAACTATGTGAACAGAATCACAACAAACAGGGATGGAAGGGATTTTTAAGAGGTCATCTAAGCCAGTGGTCTCCAAAGTGGGGTGCATGCACCCCAGGGGGTGCGCAAGACAATCCATTGGGGTGCGGGAAGAAAATATTAGAACTTCTATTTATATAAATATACATATATTGGGGGCGTGTGCTCAAAATTTTTTTACTGATAGGGGTGCGCAATCAAAAAAGTTTGGAGACCACTGATCTAAGCAGGCACCTTCCTGAAGGCAAGATCAGCTGTACCAAAACCATCCCTGACAGATGCTTGTTTAACCTGCTCTTAAAACCTCCAGTGGTTTCTACAACTCCCCTAGCTCACATGTTGCAGTGCTTAACTATCTTAACAGTTAGAAAGTTTCATCAAATGCTTTAGTGTAACTTTATATATATTTGAAAGCCTATTATAGGTCCCCCCTCAATTTTTTCTTCGTGAGACTAACCAATGCCAGTTCTTTTCAATCCTCCCTCCCAGGCCAGGCTTTCTAGAATGATCATTTATTACCTTTGTTGTTCTCCTTTGGACCTGTTCTGGTTGGTCCACATCTGCTCTAGCAGAGACCTTACCAGTACTGAGCAGAATAGGATTGTTTTGTGCATCTTGCATATGACACTCCTGTTTATATATCCAGTACAATGTTGGCTTTTTCCCCCTGAAACTCTGTAATTTTTGACACATGGTCAGTTTGTGATCAATTGAAAACCCCAGATCCATTTCCAAAGAACTGCTCCCTAGCCAACTGTTTCCCCACTTGTGTTCATGCAGTTAATTATTGATGCCTAAGCATAATACTTTAAACTTGTTGTTACTTGATTACATTGTAGTTATTTCAGAACATTCTTTCGGTTTGTCCAGGTTATTTTGAATTCTAATCCTGTCCTCCCAATTGCTGGCAGCTCCCCTCAGATTGATATTGTCCGCTGATTTGACAACTTTATCCTCTATTTCAACATCCAAATCATTATTGAAATACTGAACAATGGCCAAGAAGTTAACAGACCTGTGCAGAACCCCAATAAATACATCCTTCCAGTATGACAGCAAGCCATTAATAATAC